AACTGTGCTTACGAACGCTAAGATTTCTAATGCCACAATTGAAGTCCTTTCGCCCAAAATGCTTATTATTCAATTAAATTTAAGATATCTAAAAAATGCACGCGAATTACAAACTGAAGAGGAGATAACTAAGCATCTAAAACAGGAAACGTGATTGCTCCTCTAACGGTGTCGTTCGCGTAAAACTATAAATGGCAAAAAACACTTAAAACAAAATGAGGGTGGGGTGGGGGGACACTAAAAATTTAATACTTCATATTGAAAAAATAATGAACTAAAGTGGCTATTAGTATTATTGGGAGAGATAGTTGCTGTTTGTACCGAGTTGGAAAGGCGATAGGGCTGTAATTGATATTTGTCATGCGTAAATTTCAAAATGGCTAACAGCTTTTGTTATTGGTGCTTTTTACCATCTCAATTTTAACAAAGATATTGATTTTATTTAAAGAAAACACCGCCTCTTACTAATGCGTAAATGAAGTGTTTCAGTGTGCCTAATACTCTATTCTCTAGAAATTAAAAATGAATCACATACCGCAGTCTATCATCAATTATGTAATAAGTTGCCCGTTCTTAAATATTGATGTTAGTGTCGATGCATTTGTACTAACAAAAATAACGTCAGAACGGTAAATGATTGCCTATCACAAATTGCAAGTTTTTCAAGATTTGGACACAAATGTCAAGCTTGCGATGTTAAGGCCAAATTTAGTTAATTAGATTAAAAGTTTTCTCCTACCAGTCAGACCAAAATTTATACCATGAGCAAGATTAGTTACTTGACGTCATTTTTCAAAGTACGCCTCTCTGCGTTTTACTCAAAATGAACCCATACATGCCTTCGCGATTCCGTTTGATATTTTTCACCTTTTTTTCAAATTTTGAAACTGAGAGATCAAATAAGTGACTTTAAAGCTTCGTCAATTTTATCCTAAAGATACCGCCACTGACTTGGCCTAAACAAATCAAACCTACCGCATAGAACTGAGCGAATTGAAAAATACATTCTTTCTCACTTCTAATTTATTTTATAGCAACTTGATGCTTCGAATGTAGATTACTGGTAATGTACTTGCATGGATTTGCTGAAATTCCTATGGTATATATTTAGAATGACAAAGATTTGAATAAAATCTAGCTATTATAATAACCAGAGAGGTTCAGAGAAATATATTCCGAAAAAATTACAAGTATTTTATCATTCCATTTTGAAATATATATTTATTTACGGTCTTGATGGTTATCATTAGCCCTTTAGTTGACTTCAGGAGGGAAGAGGGGAAGGAACATCAAATTGAAAATAGTCGAGGAGGGAGAGGCCACAGAGGGGAAGAAACATCAAATTGAAAAAAGTCGAGAGGCGGGGAACAGAAGAGTGTTTCAAAGATGTAAGAGACAAACACTAAGGTAGAAAAAAGGTGAGGTGAGTACTGTGAAATAGTCGAATATGGCATAGAGTGAGGTGATGGCAATTTGAAGTCAGAAGTCAACTGCCATTTAATAGGCTTTTTTTGCCGTATGAGTATGCGTTGCCCAGGGTGCACCACATGGAGGTAAGTCTATCGCACACCCCATGAAATATATATTTCCTACCTTGTCCATAACCAGGATAAGAGCAAAACACTTTCGATAAAGCAACAATTAGTTGTACTAACTCACTACCCTTACCACAATTAAGAGAGAAAAGTTAGTAGAGTCGTTCCTAACCTGTTTAAGCTGTAACCACTAACAAAGATATTAAAGTGCATTCGTCAGAACGGGCACCAAGAGCTGCCCTCTCACTTGACCACCCCTGAACAGTCCATCTTTATGACGGAGGATAAATCATTTGAAAAATAGTAATATTTTGTTCTATTTCACCATATATATATATAATTCACAATGAAATAATGTCAATTTCGCAGTTACTATAAATAAGAGCAGAAATGAAGCCTCGTATATATATATTATTTTTACAAAGCACGGGGCTAATTGATAAGATAAATGGAAAAAATTAAGCAAATATTTTTCCCGACGGCGCAAAAAGACCAATTAAGCAAATGGCTGCTTATTTCAAAAAATGGGTCTACTGGTAGCGGCTTTCCTTTTAACCTTATTTAGCGAGTTTAAATTTGAATATACCTTGTTTTTCCTCTTCAGTTTTATCATTTATTTATACCAAATGGCAGGCGTTTTGCTAGTTATCATTGGCCCTTTAGCTGACTTCGGGCTTCACAGAGAGGAGAAGGAACATCAAGGAGAAGAGGGAGAACAGAAGAGTAATTCACCGATGTAAGAGAAATGACACAACGGCGGAGTAAAAGGAAAGGTGAGTACTGTGAAAGTGGTGGAATATGAGATACAGTGGGGCCATGGTAGTCAGAAGTCAATTTCCGGCACCACGTAGAGGTAAGTCTATCGCGCACCCCTTTCAGTTTTATCATAGTGTAGCTGTCATGCACCTTAACTGCCAACCACACTTTGGGTGAACATGCATCTCTGAAAATGGACAAGCTGTTCATCCGAAATCAAAACTTAATTTTGATATAAACTCTCATAAATATCTGAGGACAATCGGCACTCAAACTTGGGAGAATGCTTTATTTTAAGCGTCATTTTCGCCCGTGAAAGTCAACCTGACAGCTGTGCGTTATCCTAACTAATTCGCTCATTGATGCGAACTTCTAGAAAATGGATCATTTATCTCTTAATGAAAACGAAGGTAATAGGCAAAGAATGGCGTAAGGACATTATGGTTAAATGCACTTCCATTGAACGTTAATCAATAAACAAACTATCTGCACATAAGACATCAACATGAAGTGTAAATTTCGATGTGAAATTGTTAGTATTAAGGAAACGAGTGACTGGCTGGCGATAATGAAAATTCGCTCCTTGAGAGATGAAGAATTGATGAAACTTTGATTATTACACAAATGAATCGTGCATTCTAACGAAATATGCTGACCTGACTTCCCAACAAATTGCTTCCCTCCACACCCCCCCCCCTCCAACTCCAACTTGCTGTTTAGAACTGCACAAATTAAATTGAAACATCCATAGGATTAGAAAGGTATGAGCAGTTTCTTTTCAAATCAACCGCGATAATCTACTAAGAATTGGAAGCATAAGGCAATATTTCAGCCTCAGTTCTAATGGCATCCAACGAAGCCTAAAATCACAAAACGACTAACAGCTCTGGGCAAAACTAGGTGTAAAACGAAACGTTGCCACTCAGTAAACTTCTGTTCCAGACTTCACTAATCATAAAAGCACCACACCACACTACACACAAATGACAGTTTATTTTAAAGTAACGTCACACAATACATTCGGTGCTTTATCGATTAATAGATTAAAGTCAACAAAACAAAAGAAGAGCAAAGATATTACGAAGGGGTCTTCGAGAAACGAAAGGAGCTGGGAATGGGCTGGGAGCTTCGAATTTTCACACGAAGAGTTCGAGAGGCGAAGTTAAAGAAGATTTTTCGAGAGAAATAGAGTGATGACAAAGTGGGAGATAAGAAATGATATGAATTCATGTTAATTTTTCACAAGTAAAACATTCGTCTCAAGTTGAAGGTGATGTGTCTTCATGTGGATTGGGCGATTTTTCGTCTAGAGGAAAAAAAACATCAGAAATTTATAAACCTCGAAAACTTTAAATATGAGTTTATTGGATTCAAAAAAGCACTTTTATTCCAAAAGAGAATCGTGATTATTTGGCGACCAGTTAGAGATCCTGCAGCGCAAATAAACTTTGTGCCTCAGGTGCTATGTTGTAGAAACGTAGACTTCTGTTACATTACACAGCGCAGTTACAACAACTTTAACTCAACACATCATTAACCTGAGTATCCCAGGGAAAATCAATGAATCCATCATCCATCAACAATCTTAAGGAGCTCTCTTATCTACTAAAAACATCCACAAGAACCATTAAAACAAAAAAGCCGATTTATTAACATCGAAGGAAACAGAATCGGAGCACGAATTAATTGAAAGTTAGTATAAAAGAGAAGATGCTACAAGAAACGAATCGATATTCCACTTTCGAATTTGGTGGAAAAGTTTCAATACAATTTTGCCATCTTGTAGGAAGGTTAACATAGAAAATGCGGTGTCTTCTTTTACCTTGGGAATTTGATCTTACCGCTACCGAAGCTAATAAAATACTGGTTTAGTGGCAATACTCTAGTTAATTAGCGAAAGAACACACACACACATAGTAGAAAGGTCCGCAATTTTTCCAAATCTCTAAAAGACCGCAAAGTACTGATATAAACATAAATTCTTATTCACCGCAATCCTCCATCTTCGGTTGCAAGTCAACGAGAACTTCTTCATCATCGAATGGGCTCCGCTAAAGCGCAAATAAATAAGGAACAGTAGAGACGCGAATAAAACTTATCGCAGCGTACTCGCAGAGGAATACCCTACCTCGACATCTAAAATCAATTAAAACTAGATGTTACAATTTCAAAAGAAAGTAGAAAAGGAATTAGACTAGAATGTACCATCAGCATAAATTGGAGCCACATCTTTCTCATCCGCTTTTGGCTGGACCTGAAGGAGAAAACCAAAGTTACAAGTACGAGAACAGATGTAGATATATTTTCTTTGATCGGATCGAGCAGTTCCATTGCGATTTCAGTAAAGAACTTCCTCTACCATAATGTGACGAATAATGATAGACGCATTAATTAGAGCTAGGTAGAGATTAATTACTGTTCGTACGAAGATTATGAGTTCGAAAAATTGAATGTACATCGATAATTGACTAGAGGAATCTGGAACGAGTGAGATCTTGAAGGGTAAGGACTAGTATATATAGCTCAAGCTTGTTTGGAGTTAACGCTGGGCCCGAGTACCAGTGTAGATGATCATGCCTTGTCAACATATCGATGATCGATTTGCACTCACATTTGACTCACCAGAATTAACATGTTCTACTACATAGTTCAACTGCCATAAATACCGACAGATGCTTTCTTCTTTACCTCTTCTGCACTTCCTTTGTCAATTTTTGATTTCAGATGACAGCTATTTGAAAGTTTAATAGTCACTTAATGGAGCATATGATAGCATAACACATTCTATCTCGCACAAGCCTTAGAGACATTCTTGACATAATATAATTAAAGGCGTTGGGATCTATTGGAGAATAGGCATGAGCGTCCAGAATGGACAAATACCTACGTATTGCGTTTTGTTCCTCTAATCATTCCGCCTAAGTTTTCAATAGACACTGACCTTGAGGTAATTGCTAACATTTATCCCGAAGACAGAATTCAAGCAACTCTAACTTAGTCGTGACAATGTGGACACCACTTCTAGGTCGTAAGCTCGACGCGGTCAAATACAACGAATTAAAAGATGTCGAATGAAATAAAATGAAATTACCTCGGCAGTCGGCTTCACTTGAGTGATTTCCGGAGCTAAAATACGAGACAAACACAGGAAGATCACAAAAAATGCAAATCAATAAAATTTTGGACACACGGAAATGACTTTGTTACAATGATTATGTAAAGTTGGATTAAGGTACACTCACCTTGACGAAGAGGAGATTTTACAGTTGCACTGGAAGAACTCCATTCTGAGGAACGCATAATATTCTCCATAATTCGGACCTGTTCACAATACCAAAAAAATAAAACTGTATTTAGGCGAAATCAGTTTTGGAGATTGGGGAATTTTCATAACCAATTACACAATGGATGGATAGTAATATTTATAGATCCCAAACATTCAAAATGTGGCCTTGATACCAATAATGCAATAGATACCTTGTAGCTACTAACGTTCCATTGTTAACTCAATTGGCCTAGGGAGTTAATCGATTTTATATGGTGTTCTGAGCATGACTCATTCATCAGTTCGCAAGCTGCTGATAGATTTTCCCACGCAATGGAACACCGCATTTTAGACCCAGTTTTCCTCCCGCCTGAGAGCAATAACTTAATAATTTGCGAACCCGATATAGCCAAAGACCGCTACCCCAGGACATGATTTGGGCAGAAGAAGAGCGTCTAGGGGGACCGCTACCCCAGAATTTTACCAAAATACACATTGATGAGCGTGGATGTCGCGACTTACCATACATAGTCATTGATTACTACGTCACCGATATAACTAATTGCCTATGGATATCATAGTAGACTTTATACTTCACACTTTCGCACTCGGCCAATACAGTTTTGAGTAGTAAATAGAATGCCATTAAGAAATAACAAAACTAAAACAGCAAAGATGAGATTCATAAATTTACAGGGACGAATATAATTAATAAGTAGGTTTTGACTGTATATTTGGTAAAATTGAATGAGTCGACCCATTTTTCTAACACATACCCACCAAATTCCACATGCTATTGGACTGCTGGATTGTAAGTATGCATTGACAACAGGCCAGTGTGCTGCCAATCAAAGGCACCCCCATATGTTAACGTAGTCAAAATTGACAAAGAAATGACAGTATTTACATAAATCTACAGTACTCACTGCATGAGGGGTGTGCGATAGACTTACCTCCATCTGGTGCACCCTGGGCAACGTATACTCATACGGCAAAAAAGTCTATTAACCGGCAGTTGACTTCTCACTTCAAACTACCATGGCCTGACTGCTTGTCATATTCGACCCCTTTCACAGTACGCGTCTTACCTTATTCTCTACCTTTGTATCTGTCTGACTCTTTTACATCTGTGAATCGCTCTTCTGATCCCCACCCCTCGACTTTCTGCTACTTTGATGAACCTTCCTTCTGTGAAGCCCGAAGTCAGCTAAATTGCTAATGATAGCTATCATAACGCCTGCCAGTTGAAATAAATACTCATTGCATGAACCGATAATAAGAGCGAATATGCAGGTTTACACAATGCATTCCAGCGTTTACCAAGCCAAAATTTCTAGACCGCTATAAACAGGCTTTCGGTCAGAGTTAAGCAAATAATAAGACAGAGGAGAATAGTCAGAGACCACCAAATACATGGAATTAACAGAGATTGTACACTCGAGAGGCGAACGTAGGGTTGTTAACTATCGTATACAGTACAAGGAAGATAGTAGAATGAATAGAGTATAATCAGAACCTCGAAAGAAGATCATAAAACAGTCGCATAATGCAATATGCAGCCCTATAATGGGAAGTGGTTACGCGTATGATTAAAGAAAATTAGTCAAGACAGATAATTAAAGACTTGCAAAACACCTTCTCAACATTCATAGTATTCACATATCTTGATTAGATCGTGGTTGAATGTTGAAAAGAATTTACGGGCATTATCACCGCTTGAAACTTCTAAACGGAATGACTTTGCATGAAGCAGACGAATGAAAAAATACATAATTTCAGGCGAAATAAAACCAAATTACGAAATCTATACTTGCAGACCCACATAATAAAGCGAGTGGGGGGGGGGACTGGATATCTCGAATGAAAAGGACAAGCTGAGGGAGTAGGGAGGAATAGTTAAGTGTCACAACAAAACATTCCACATCGTCAGCAGTACTAAAGAGCATTCAAAGCCAACCAATGAAATTAACATGGTGAATCAATACCCAGTGACTTAAATTCTAATTATGCTAAATAAAATACTACTTTACATGAATGAATGAAGATTTGCCAAATCAAGCTGTAGCAGAGGAAGCAACTTTTCAATCAGAACGGCTCAAATGTTTCCTTTTAGATATTTTTGGTGTGAATACCGTGAAAAATAACTCACAAATACAAGTGGAAACCCTGATTCTAGATGGGGGCTTGAGCACTACCGAATGAAGCCACAAGTGGTCCTGTTATGGCACTTTCAATAACCCCAAACCGATATCCTCTGGGTAGTTTTTGCTCAAACCTATAACACAAAGCTTTTAATCCCCTATTAAGAGAAGTGGAATGGTAGATTTGAGGGCATCTGCCAAGGATTCAGGAATAAGCTACGAAGTTAGTCACGCAGCTCCACTCATGAAGGTGCAGAAGGAAATGAGAGAGAGGCGAATATAAACATGACGATGACGTACCTTTTCGGGCGACTCGCCCACCTCGTTGAGAGCGGCAAGACGTACCAACTGAAGATTCAGCACCCGTTCAGCGAACTAAAGTAGTGACAGAGAGAGAGAAGGGGGATGATCAGAATAAAGAAAAAAATGATTAAAATTGAAATAAAGGCGATTAAAAAAAAACAAAGTAACGCCAAATTGAACCTGCTATTAAGCCGTTTCACCTTGTGACTTGAAGAACCAAAAGAAGAGAGCATAATGAAAATATAGCTCTAATTTCAACACAGTTAGAGAATTGTAAACAAAAAAACAATCACAAATCATTTACTGAGGAAGTGATGAAGTAGTATTGAAATATTTTCGTTGATACAATTATTAACTATACTGCGAATTACCAAGCATTTGAACAAAAGCATATTAAGAGAATAATTGATTTTAGAGGCTTCAAACACATCCGTTAGCAAAAGAAGGAGGAGAGGCGGAAATCCCCCTACAAACCACAATTTAATTACACCAATGGAAAAAAATGATAACGATTTTTCTCCAATCAAAATGCAATGACAGAGTTCGCTACCAGTGAATGACCTAGAATTAGCATTTCATGCAAATCTGGAAATTTTTTTCGTACCAAAACAAAAAATCAATAGGACACTCTACTCGATCACAACATTGTTCTTCAAGGTAGAAACTGGAACAAAATGCACTGGCAATGAGACAAATATTAATGTGCCCACAAACGGAATTTTACAAACAAACTCTTAATGGGGAATAGAACTAAGCATTGACAATTTAACAAATCTGGGTAATTTGATAAATGTTGAAGACACAACGAAACGACAAAGAGGAAGAAAAAAATTTAGACAAATAAAATAGTAAAATATTGACCCAATAAATTGTAACAAGGTGCTTCCACCACGAATTTAATTAATAAAACTATTCCAAAAGGCACGACAGTTGCTATGACGGAAATACTAGATACAATTTGAATAAAAGTTGTTCGTCTCCCAATTTTATTGAATGAATTTCAATTTGAATGCCAAAAATTTATGTAGACGGTTTGGGGTGTGCGGCAGACTTACTTCCCCGTGGTGCACCCTGGGCAACGTATACTCATACGGCAAAAAAGTCTATAAGCCGGCAGTTGACTTCTAACTTCAAACTACTGTGACCCCACTGTATGTCATACTCAACCTCTTCCACAGTACTCACCTCACCTTTTTCTCTGCCTTTTTGTCTGTCTGTCCCTTTTACATCTGTGAATCGCTCTTCTGTCCCCCCCTTTCGACTCTGTGACTTTGATTTTCCTTCCTCTGTGAACCCCAAATTCAGCCAAAGATCTGATGATAACTATCAAAATGCCTGCCATTAGAAAAAATAAATGCAGACGATTTAAGATTAAGGAAGCACAAATCTTAATCTCTAATCGAAATCAAAGAGTTCATAAAGGTTAATACAAAATGTTCCCGACAATCATTAAACTATAAAACTCTTGCCAATAAATCAAATTAGTTTTAAATTTAAGCCTAATTAATGTAAAGCTGTTTATCCATTGGTTTTGAAAGAAAAACCGCCCCAACCTTTGACCTGCTCTAATACGGGATATATATATATATATATATAAAGGACGATCCAGTGATAAAGCAGACAGGCTCGTTTAGCCTTAACAAGACAAAAGGCAAAAATATTTCCTCCAAACCCACCTCAGCAGGATTGGATGTCTCAAAGAAGTGGCAGATATACAGGCCCCCAGAAGTGAGATCAATCCACTGGGCTGAATGTGGCTCTGAAGTCATCACGATAACGAGTTTTCGTTGTGATCTAAAATGTGAGCATGATAGCGTAAGAAAGTGAACCATTCCGGTTTACAATTAGCAGAGGAATTCACTCGGGCCTAATTTGCAACTGTCCAAGAATAGGATTAAAACTTTATGGCCTTCACGCATTCTGCTGGTGAAAAGTCACTGTTAAGGATGCCATTTTACATTGAAAAAGTAGTCAGGGCGCTTTGAAGACAGACCGATACATAGGTCTGAAACTACATATGCACAGTCTTAGAAGGGAGATGCGGAACTCCGACAAACGGATCAAAAGACAACGGTAGATTGTTTGCACTGACCAAACTATTAAGGAGTACTTTAGGTCTTTCGAACTGTTAGTGGTGTTCGCTATGGTTCTTAAGGCCCGAGAACCCATAAGTGCTAAAGTGACATAGAAAATATGTAGTTTATAGCAAGCCACTTAAGAAGGGGAGTGAAATGGGAAGATTTTGATTTAAAGCTAATCATTACTGTAATGCCTAAGTTGAGAACGATTCTTGATGAATTGAGGCTTTTAAAAGGGTCCTGTTTGGCATGAATTTGATCCATAAGATGGGTGAAACCTGCAGATGTAAGTACTTTCAGAATCCAAGGAATTCATCGCATAGCAGAAATTTTGACCATCAACAATTTTAAGCAAATCCTGCATAGAGATAGATTGTCACTTTAGAGAGACGGAGCATATATTTCCAAATCTCCCTTATTATAAGTAAAGAAGAGCAAAGTAAAGAACGTGTAGTTGTAACTCTTACACAGGTTTATCATCTGGCACATTTATCTCCACACAGTGGACGATCTGGGCGAGTCTAAAGTTGCTAAGAACAGTTTGTTGGTGAGACTCGGGAGAGGAGGATTCAAGGAGAAAGAGGGCGTCCGGGGTAAAACGGGCCACACAGCTCTGATCAGATGGTTTAGCCTCGGATCGCTTGGTTAGAAGGTACTTGGCAAACTCTCCAACCGCCATTGGATTAGCTTAAGGGATACATAGCAAAACTAGAATAAACCCGTTAAGCAAAAACAAATACATGCTCAGTCCTTCACAATGTTAATCGATACAACTCGACGAGGTTTTGATACAGTTGCTGCTAAATTAAACATCATAGAAGAGCTTACAAAATTAATGTGATTTGCATACACTGCTGACAAATAAAGCTCCTGTTAATGATAAAATTCGTTAAGGGGTTGATTAATAAGCCGGTCTTTTATTTTCCCTTTTTTGCAAATCAAAGTAGTACCTTTGTGCGTGCTCGAGGATAGGAAAAAGAAGATCTGGATGTGAACTCTTTAAATTGAGCCTTCTAAGTCGACGGAGCCCCTCCCCCATTACCATAACAATTAAATTTTTAACACCAATACCTCCATTCAAAATAGGAGAGGCGTAGCCTCAAACACTTGAACTCCATTTTAGGAGGAAAGCAAGAAGGATTAATGAATATACCCCCAAATAGAGGTGGCAATTTTTTTTTGTGTGCCTTGAATAAATTTGTTCGAGGTAGGAGGAGAATGAACACAAAGTCATATGGAGTAACAATTGATGCGGGGACATAGCGAACTAATTCTGAAGGGCTTAGAAGACAGGCTGAAAATGAAGACGCATGATACTACAACGCCCACCAAGGCAATAGAAAGTCACCATAAAATAAATACAAGATCGATGGAAGCAAGAAAGAACTGCCCACATTTTCTAAAAGGCACTTGAGGCTAAATTTAGTCTCTGTTTCTATAAGTCGCTTTTAACCACACACACACACACACCCCGCGGATACTAATAATAATGGTTTTGTGAACTTGAAACTGATATATCCCATCTTCTCTTCATGAATATCCAAAGGGAACAGATTATTTTATTATTTTACTCCTCTCAGTAAAGTGGTTAAACTAATTCTCTTCTCTACAAATTTATATAGAGATGGAATCTGTGATATTGCTCGAATACGCCAACCCTCCCGTTTGGTTTATAAACAACATGCACTGCAAATAGAGGACGAGATGACCCGTTTCCTCGCCAATCAAACCTGTTTTCTTTCCAATGGCCTTGAAGAAGACAGAGGGACAAAACGTCACTGAAGGCTACGGTTTCATGTGATATAAAGACCAAATTCGGATCACAACCAGCAAAGTGATGCAACACTCATTCTCATCCACCTCTTCGACGACCAAGGATCGTCATAGAGAAATAGAAGCCTCATAGAGAGGTATGCATGCAACAAGTTTCTGCAATAGGAGTTCGGGGTGAAGATAGTCGACACATTTACACTACTACTGATCAAACAAAAGGCGATACACTTCAAAATTAGTAGAAAACTTTAAGCATATATTACTTTTGACCACTAGTTTGTTTAATTGCTCCTTTGTGATTGACATAACGTACTTCTCGACGCATATAAACATTTTAAAACAACTTAGAACTCAAAGCCGGAAGTAGAAAAAGTAAGCATTGAAGGGAAGCGGACAGAGAGAGAGAGTGAGAGAACAATAAACTCTCCTACTCGTATCCCATTTAGAAGAGGGAGGAAATAATTTCAATTCTTTACTGAGCCAACCGCCATTAAATCAGATTTGCATATGGAAGAAATTACACACAAACTAGCTCCTGGTAGATGAACAAAAAGTTGAGATAAGAAATGCTCTTAAAGCTAACTTACATAGACGAATGCAAAGAAGGCGAATGGCACAAAGGAGATGCCAAGGATGGAATGATTGAACTTGGAAAACTGAATATAAATCGACATAATGTCATGTGATGTAGGCCAACACGCCTACGAATGGAGTTAACTACTTGACATAACCAAATGGCCTGTATTTTTAGAACTCGCCAAATGTGTAAGAACCGGAGAAACACAAAGAGATGGACCAAAAGTCGGAGTTGGAATAGAGACCAATCACAAAATAGGGGCTCCTACTTTCTTAACGAGCGCAATTCACTAACCCCATATTGCAAATAAATTCACGCTTCAGACTTCAAACTGACAATGTTTGAGACCAGCTAGGCAGTTGATTAAAATGACAAATTTAATAGTCAAACACAAATTGAGCCTACCTTGTTTTTTTTCAAATATTGGACTTTTAGTACACTTAGGTCATCAGATGGGAATTGAATTTCCAATTCAATCAATGGACTGTGAGTGAGTGTCAAAAATGGGCGAAATGGAAGCAAACACATCGTGGAGGTTATATGAGACCAGTCGGAGGAAAAAGAATTCACTGGCACGTTAGTTGAAGCAAAAATAGTCCAGTTATATTTAAACCATAAAAAGGAATGCGTGGCTGACAAATTCCACATCACAGCATGAAAAAAATGGGGAAATAATTTAATACGTTAAAAGAAATGATATAAGAAATGTCATCTTGCTGAGAGAAACTCTGGAAGATAAAGAAAGTAAAACCCTCGACAGGTTGAGTAGAAAATAAATGGAGCATTCATTAGATTTTAGAGAGGAAATCACCCCAACTCCTAGCGGAATGACGAAAATTATACGGAGATAGGAGGAGGAGTCGAAGTTCAAAATGAGAGACAAAGTTTTCCCCTCTACTCAATTAGTGAACAAGTGCGGTGGGGTATGGAATTATTGACCAATTAAATACAAGTAATGACATTTTTACGTGGAGAGGTTCAGACCATCCTGAGTTGAGTTAAAACGATAAGAGAGCTAGGACTTGTCATTTTCATTTCATTTCAAGACTGTGTTTTCGCAAACAAACCTAGTTTACTAGGTTCAGGATGGGTGGACTAGACACAAAAAAACATGCGAAAGAGATATTATTCGAGGCCTTTTCTTCCCTAAAATGAATTAAAACATATCAATATAATTGCCCCAAAGTGCGATTTCTTTGCATTAATTGGTTCAAAATCATGGAACTTGCAGAGGAGCTTATTCAATTATCAAACAGGGTATGCATTTCCGTGGTTTGAGCCTAGCATTCTAGTAATTTGACTAATTGAAGATTCTACCATTGATGGGATCATTTGCGTTATTATAGAACAATTTATCATTAAAGTTGACACAAATACTATATTCCCCGTCTAGAGCTCGACCTCCAGGCCATTTTACCTCATCAATTTTGTGCAATCAGGAAAATTGGATACTTCTCCTTCACATAGACTAAAATAATGCAAGATCATGGAATATTCCCACAATTAATGCTAATTCTAATTCTAGTTGATAAAAAGTGGGAAAAAATGGAACGGTAATCTCGTTCAGAACACCATCAATAAGGCGTTTTTTATGCAGCGGAAAGTTTGAGCTTTTGCAAGCATGGTGAGTAGCTGCTCAGAGCTCTAGGGACCTTGGAATTATAAAGCAATCGATGCTAACTAAATAAAGTAATAGGAGTTTGTATAACCTTGAAACACACACACACACACACAAGCGAACAGCGAAGCGAAATAGGTTCATGGGTAATATTTCCCCAAGGGGATATATTTAGAGAAGCATTCCTTGCAAATTGAAGTAACACCACCCCCCCCCCTCCCCTACCCCACATTGGATTAAACAAGTTTGCCTTCTTAAATATAAATTTCCATTGAGCTAAAGAATTCCTCCTTCTTCAAGGGTTGCCCATTAGAGACTGGGTTCAATAGGTAACGCTTAATATCGTGTTATTTGATAAGTGAATCTTGACGAAGACGCTTTACTAAAGGTAAGAAAAAGAAACATTGAATACTACCACAATTCAGGCACTGAAGACAAGAAACACAATATTCTTACTCAGTGTATGCATGCTCTAAAACCCTTTGGCTAACTCGAATGACGACTATCGACAACTGGAAACGAATTGCACTATCGCACCTTATTTTATCTTCTCTCTTACTGTTTGAGATTGGTTAAAACAAAGGCAATATTGTGTCTACACACACCATGAAAGCGAGGCAACGGCATCGATCCAATAAAAGTGAGTGGAATATCAGCATCAGGAGGCTTTTCTGTTGTACTTGGTCCTTCTCCGTCTCCCGCGTCAGAAGCTGCTTGAGTGGAGGCAGGTGGAGGCGGGGCGGAAGCATCCACAGGGATGAGTTCAAAGTGAAGAGGAGGGGATTGAGATATCCAAGCGGAGGGCGATGCAAGTGAAATACGTAAGGCTCGATTCAACTCACTCTCCATCTCCTCCTCTCCCAGGTCCTCATCACTATCTCTCGAGGCGGCCTCGACTGGAAATTGGGTGCGAGGAACTAGGACAAATGGCAGAGGCTGCAAAGGGAATAGGAATGAATCTTAAGTAAAACAGAGGTTATAAATACCCTATTGATCTGTGGTAAGGCGCATTAAAATAAAAATAAGCACAGTTCGGTTAGAAGTGCAATGACCTTGGCCATGGCAACAAATGACTATGACCTACCTCTTCGATGACACATTTACGACAATTAAGTGAGAGGAGCGTGATATATTAATGCAGCCTTAGTCGATCTGGTCAAGTCTGATCTCTAATTACTCTGCAGACATGTCCCATTCTTCAAACCCTAGCCCCTTCTCTCTGAGTATGGAATAAATAACTATCATTTTCATCCTCAATGATCGCGCACTAAAACTTAGAGTTAAGATTTAAATCCCTATCCCTCAAGAGTAAGCTGCATACAAAGGCGTTCATGAAAACAATAACTCCGACTTCGAGGTGTCCAAGACCCTGTGATAAACAAACAAGGTTTTCGGGATAAATATTACAGAATACCACTTGGTTGATATTTTCCAGATATTGTGAAGGTGTTTAAACTCGTTGTTAATCATATAATTGAAAAAAGCGGGAATGGATGACCGGAGCCCACATAAATCATAGGGGAAAACAAATTGAATAATGGCAAATCACATCGGACATTCAAATTAGGGAATTATGGTTGGTGTTCAGTGTTCCCTAAACGCTGCAGAAAGAACACAGTATGAACAGGAAAATTGTAATTGAGATTAAGAAGCTACTGTGGCTATAAAAAAGCATCATAAGGAGTTGTTGAAGCACCTTGGCACCACGATTCGGGCTTTCTCGGCATATTTTACTAAATATCTCAGCATCCACCATGAGGATTGCAGTAAATGAAAACCTTCGCTACCATTGTCCATATGAATGTTGAATAGGTCACCTTCTTATACAAAAGGTCCGCGATGAAACTTCTGAACAAAGATTAAACAACCATCTGGAGCACGAACCAATCTGGTTTCTTTCCAATTAATAGATGCATTGACTTGGCATACACTTTAAAAGAGGCCTCTCTAGACATAAGGACAACCTCTACAAATTGTCCACACACACCTTTTTTTTAAAAAATGGACTTAGGCAGAATGTAGTAGTCAAATCCTGGATAACGAGTGAGGGTAGCTAATAATAGGCAGTGTGCATGGCGAAAGCAGAATTTGGCCCACTGTCACACCTTAAGCAAAAGTCAGAAGTGGCTGTCAGGCGAATTTTGTGACTAACTCAGATTGAATTAAAAAACCACACCACTTCAACTGAAGTGAACTGTTTTTACTGAGATAATCTGAACCAATGACACCTATTTATTAAGTCCCAAATGTGATTTCTACACCCTTTCTAAATCTGCAAGTCTGGAAGTAGTTTTTCGACTTTATACTAATAACCCCCCCCCCTCCCCTCATTGTTCCCAGCCAATCGGTTTTCTGTATTTCGATCAAAGATAATTAAAATAAGTTTTAACGTGCTCAATGGGTTTTTATTACTCTAAAGTGACACTTATTCCAATCTTTCTCTCTCTCTCTCTCTCTATCAATAGGGTTCGTTTAGCTCCAATTAATTATTTTTTTTCATTTGAAATACGATGTCAAAGAAACGGTACACTGGAAGTAACATTTATTCCCCTTTACCGTCACACAATCAACTAGATTAAATATATAAAAAAACATTTTTCGCGCGTTAAACGGAGCATTAAGTTTGCCAAGCGGACCAAAAATAAATATTAGTGAAAAGCACGAAAAATTTAAGGACATGTGATGGTCAACTGTCCCAAAAATCGATTCTACTCGACCAATTGCTTACGTAAAAATACCCTAAATTGGTATCAATAGAAAGTAGGAATTAGGAGCAAAGTTCAAGAATATTGTCGAGAGAAAATGAACAAAAAAGCCGGAGCAAATTACCTTGGAGCAGAGAATACAACTAAGAACTGATGAACTTTGATTTTGGTGGAATTAATGGAAGATTGAAACTGCATTTATGGAAGTGACACTTCCACCAATATTTCGAATTTCAAAAATACTTATACATGTAATCAAAGGTAATTGCAAGCTAGCTAGAATGGACTTCACGAACACAAGCAATGAAGGCATTGCAATCTCACATTCCTCGAATAATGATCGATGAGACTCGCGTAACCAAATGAACTGAATATAATTGGAGAAAACATTAACGGTGAGAAGAGCTATTTGTTCAACGAGGAAAACGTCCAGTTGAGCTGATAAAAATAACTCAATGAACGAGGCGGTTAAATGCCACGATGGATGGAAATATATTTGTCAAACGAAAACGAACCACCAACCCCCCCCCCTCCCCCCTGGGTCCAACAGAAAAAGAAATGAAAAGCCAAGCATGCAAAGGAATGAATGAAATTTATTTTCTCCGGAGACGGGGTATAGAAATTCAAAGGAAAAATCAAATGCAAAATGAAAGATCTAGAAATGCGAGTAAATAAGCCACTACAAAAATACACAAGACATACTATCCGTCCAATAGGATGGTGAAAAGAATTTCATTAACAAAAAATAGGCGGACACCTCATTACTTGTCTACAATATGATTTTGTTATACAACGATGCTTGAGCGAATTCGTCTGTTTAGCACTGAACTACTACTAGAGTGGGAGCCAAAAGAGAGCGAAAAACAGCCAATTTAGTTGTCAAGATTGAGTGAATGAAGAAATGTCAAAAAGAGTGGCCCTATTCTCTCGTGACATGATTCACTGAGTGCTCAGGTAAACAGCACAAAATGGCTTATCAAGGAAAAAATGCAGCTTTAAAGTGGTATTTTTGTTTCTAGTACAAATTAAGGAAGTGCGTACGTCACCCTACACAATTGCAGCGATTTCCCAAGAGTATAAATAATGTATTTACATGGTACAAACAAAAAAGGGATGGATGTGAGCCCATTTATTTAACTTACCGAAGCCCTGGTACTAGTGACAAAATACAATCGAGTAGCCGTTCAGAAACAATTAAGAGACGCAAATAATAATTCCTTCGTCAAAATCGAGAGCTTAAAATAAACACGGATGACACATCTTGGAATCCCAACTTCAACAATTAGCATAAATAAAAATTAAGTTAACGAAGTCTCGTACTCCATTTCAAATGTGAATATCTTCATCACAACATAAGAGAGAGGATAGCTCAGTAATCAGAGCTCCATTTACAGCGAAATCCGCATCTATTAACACGGATTTTAGAAGTTGAGTGTAGGTGGCAATAATGTCGTGATTAGAGTAATTAAAAATAGGCCTCCAGCACGTGGCATAGTAAACACTCAGGCATAGATTAGTCAAACCACTCGGAAAAATTGTTACAAATTAGATGAGTGTTTAACCCGAAAATTCAATTGTCATTTTGAAGACAAAACTACGCAATTATGGACACCTCTAAGGTGCAAAAAATTTAAAGAAATCTCATCTAACTTTCGTGGACAAATCCTAAACTAATGGCATGAGATAAGCTTCAAAGTGTTTCGAGAAGCAAGAAACTCTAAATGCTGTAAAAGCATTCCAGTCCATTAGGTGGGTGATTTCATGCCGTGTTTTAAATATCGTATTTATGACATTGTCCAAAATTCATTCCATTAACTCCAACAAATGCCTCAGCACTGCGCCAAATAACATCCCTCAGAGAAAAATACAACTCACACGTGCACCTATCTTCGTAGATAGGTATTTTGAGAGACAAAGTAAGTAATAAAGTGACACCCTAAAACTTTCGGTTGACAGTGTGGCGACTGGTTAGTCAATAATAGTTAATTAGCAGACACAAACATTACTGAGAACCAAGTGGTATTTTAGAGGATATTTACTGACCAGTTCAGCTGAAATGAGTACAGGTAGGATAATAAGATAAATTCAGAAAGTGGAAAACTTTAGGCTTAAACTCCTAGACTATCAAAAAAGATAATTTAATAGAAAAGAGTAGTAATTGAACAGTAGGATACTAATTGACATCGAAATAATCTTCGAGTCGATCCAAAGAGAATCAGACAACTTCTCTCGAATTGTAGGAAAGGCAAATATGACGAAAAAAACACAGAAGATGCGGTTCAAAGCTTACAACGCACGCAACAAGATTGCCCCCAATTAAAATAAAGCCCAAGACACAGGGAAATTTAGAGATTAGCAACGAAAATATTATCCGCATCCAAATCGATACAGCCAAAGGCAGTAAAAAGAACACGTCGAATCGGATTTTATAAATGGTAATGATACCATAAACTTACCTTCACTTAAAGAACGTATACTCATATGGTAAAACGATCGATTAACCGACAATTGACCTCTGAATTCAAACTACGAAGACTCAACTGTATGTCATATTCGACCACTTCTACAGTACTCGTCTTACCTTTTCTCTGCCTTTGTGTCTGTCTCTTTTACATTTGCGAATAACTCTTCTGTGACTTTGTCTGTTCCTCCCCTCTGTGAAGACCGAAGTCAAACAAAGGGCTAACGATAACTATCATAAAGCCTGACATTTGACATAAATAAGTAAAGGATACGAGATAGCGCAAGATATTTCGGTTCTTTTCGATTGCCAATCCAATATGTACCTTTTATTACAGCTGTAAAAACTAACAGAGCCACTTCGCATTTATTGAAACCTTTTTACTCTAATTAAATAGCACTTATGCAAAATGCCAAAGTACTAATAGACCTATATGTTAAGGTATCTTAACTGCAATATGCATTCTAAAAGTATGAATAGGTTAAATGAGCATAAGTGGGATAGATCATACCTCTTTCAATTTCGGTTCCGGAGGCTGCAAGCCCTTGCTGGCAAAACTGCTGGTGTTTACGATGATATTGGAGATAGTTTGGATCCACTAAAACCGAGACAAAACCATTGCAGTAAACAAAGGTCTTATTCATATTTAGACGTTACTTCAAATTACAATAAAGTGAGCATAGCTTATTCGTGGTGAATGCCGTGGATTAGAAACAGTACATAGATAAACTGAGAATACAAACTATTCTACCTCATTTTGAGTAAATGGTTGTCATTAAGGCCCACGACTAGATGGAACTATAAAGAAGTATAAAAATTGTGATGGGAGTAGAGAATGGAGCACGATTATTAACAAGTCACGTTATGACACCCAACTAGTGAGATGCTCTGATTTCAACAACCATTTTTCAATTATTTAAAAAAGCTCAAACAAATAACTCAATTTAAAGAAGTTCAGATTATGTATTATTACGGTAAAATTATTTTGCAAAATCGGTGATAAAACAGATAGACCCCAAAATGGAGACCATACAGGCCGTGGTAATAGAAATCTATCTCTTCTAATTGCATTTACTATGATTATTTTTGTGTCATAAGCAGCAGAACGGGAACGAATATAATCTATACTTCATATCCCACATGCTCCTTATTTCCTCATGCTTAAAAAAGTATGCCTTGTTAGAGGAGATTTTCAAGAATTAATTTATTACAGATGTTTAGTTAAAATACTACGTCATGGGGAAATAGCATGAATTCACAACTACTGATGCGTATTAAGTAGAGAGAGTTTAAAATACCTCATCGCGATCTGTTGAATTTTCGGCTTGAAGTATCACAGTTCTGAAAGAAAAAGACACATAATGAACATGTATTAAGTACCAAATATAGTCAAAGCTGCTAACGACAGATAATTTAATGAAATAAACGAGTGCAAAAACAGTCATACAGCGAAGTCACACTTACTGAGTTAGAGGTTGAGTATCAACTGCAAAGAGTGAGTTGAGAAAACTGCTTGCTTCCTGTTGCGGTTTCTTCTCACTATTAAATGTCATTACGAATTAAACACAAAGCAAAAATATAAAAAAGGGAAAAACATGGAGTGATTGCAACTCCTTACTCACCGTTTCTCTGCAGCTGAGACAATCTGGAACGTGTATCTGCGATCGTCGATATCCACTGGTTCAGCAAACACACCCTTTCCATTGAGGTTAACAAGAACTCCTGCACCAAGCTGTAAGAAAAATCAATAGGAATATGCATTTCTGAAATTTTGTACACATTATTGGATGCCTGTAACCTGTGACTTGAGGGGGAAATCAATTAAACATTTCCGAAAATTTACTTGACGCAATAGACTTACCTCCACGAGGTGCACCCTGGGCAACATATACTCATACGGCAAAAAAAGTCTATTGGTCGGTGACTTCAAACTACTATGGCACGACTATTTGTCATATTCGGCCCCATCCACAGATTATACGGCAAAAAAGTCTATTGATCGCCAGTTGACTTCTCGAATTCAAACTACTATGGCCCGACTATTTGTCATATTCGCCCCCTTACACAGTACTCATCTTACCTTTTTATGCCTTTGTGTTTGTCCGTCTGTCTCTTTTACAACTGTGAATCACTCTTCTGTCCCACTTCTCGACTTTTTGTCTCTTTGATGTTCCTCCTCCTCTCTGTAAAGCCTGAAGTCAACTAAAGGGCTAATGATAACTCTCAAAACACCTGCCATTTGATATAAATAAATAAACTTGACCTCCATCTTTAAGCAGTGACCCCTATTTGATTAAGGGTACATTAAGAATCAAGTGGTCAAAGAAAGAATTGAGTGTTCCCTCTCAAAAGTTTAACTAAATTTAGTTGCTTTGATTAGCACTTAACGAAAAGGTGAGGGTAATTTCATTTTCAGGCCAATGAAAAAAAAACAATGACAGTGTAAAGTGCATTAGCATCTAACATAAGCCACAAATTATAAAACTCAGTAATGTATATAAATGAATGACTGATGGTTAATGACTCTTCAAGTACGCTCATTTAAACAATTATGCAAGTTTTATAAAAAAATTAACAAAGAAATGGTAACTTTATTTGCTTGGATAAAAAACTCATTTTATCCAACAAATAGTTTAACGGGTTTAAAATTCGAACGAAAATATACGCAGTTAGTATCCAGCTAATACTTTGACAATTTGAAGTAAAAAAGCGTTTGATTTAGTTAGCCAATCTCCTAAATTAGTTGAATTGCCAAAAGGTTTCAGACATTGAGAAGTAAATTCAATAATGACAAATAACGAAATTGAAGCACGAGAATAATGGAGTATGAAGCAATGAGCCATAGCCAAGAAACAGGATATGAGCAAAATTTATACACGAATCTAAAGTGCAACTATTAGAAGCCCCTACAGTTTGTCTTCCAATGCACAACACAAGATGGACGCTAACAAATTGAAGATTGCTCAGAATACACCTCAGTGGATGAAGCTGAAGCGGCCGAAAAATGAACGTTAGCGTTGGCGGAAGGAATAGCTCTGAGTAACCTCGCCACACAATAACAGTAGCGTAAACTGAACCTCTGGATAAAGATATGTAAAAAAGACGATGCAATCATTAAACTTTCCTTGAATTAAAAATTACTAAAACAAATGTGAAGCAGGTGCTCCGTAAGAATGGGGTGAAGTTCGGCTGCAGAATTCATGATGAGAAATCTATCCCACGCTTGCTAGAATACCATTCACAAGCAAAAAGATGCCATTTCAAACGCCCTGAGCCTTAATTTAGTACACCAGTACAATAATCGAATAGTTAGAAACCTTAAACAGAAAAATGCTCTTGACACCTAAATATTATAGCCATGGGCATCAACAAAACGGGTATTCAAAACCGAAATAATAGCTTACATCGCCCTTCTGTTGGTAGAGCAGATTACCGCCCTGTGTAAAACAATAGACCTCGGTCCAATCGTAACCGAATGTTTTCTTAACCCGCATGTAGAGATAACCGCTCTTGGAAAGTAGATCCGTATCAGGAGTGCGCAGATAGGACTTGTCTAAAATATACAAATAAATGTTATTTAAAAGGTAATAAGTAGTAATGTCGTAGTAGTGATTCTCGGATAAACCTGATTTTGCAAACAGGGGTTCAGGAGCAAACAAGGCCAAGGAGTGATTCTGCATGTTCGTAAGAGTATTCAAGAACTCTTCGGTTGCTTGCGTAGATTGCACCTGGCGGCTGAAGTACAATATTAATGAGCAAAATAAATCATCCCAACTACAATTGGGCAAGAGAAAGTAAGCCAACTAACCAATCAAATTGTGCCTTAATAACCTCCGCAAATTGTCCGAGAGAGGGTTGCTCAACAACATCATGAATTCGTTTGCTGTGATTGCGAAGAGTAGTGAGAAAGCCGTAGAAAGCATTCAGAGGAACCATCTCCCGTTCAAAGTGGGCAGCGTTGAGACGGGCGTGGTAGATAACTGAGGCCTTCTGGAACATTCGACGGCGCTGAAAGATAAATAGAATGCTAGTGGTTGGCGCAAAAGTCGAAAAATAAAGTAAAACGATATGATTTCCCTGAAGAAAGGTGGTTATTATAAATTAAAGAAAATCATTACATCTCTCAATTCCAAGAAATTACTTTAGAAATATGTACATTTCCCCGTCAAAATCTGGAGTATCCACTGTAAACGTGAAAATAAAATGCAAAAACAACAAACTACGTCGAAAAAGCTGTAAGGATGCTATATAGAAGACATTTGGCCAAAATCTGCAGAAAAAATTGATCCAGTGATGGTTTAGTAAGAATAGCTCAGATAAGGTTTGTGTTTAGGAATTAATCAATAGAATGCATTATGCAACTTGATCGACTACGCATCGGATATGGTGACAAAGGACCAATTCATACCACTTATATAGAATCAGATAAAAAAGAACCATTAGAATTGCGAAGACATATAGACAGAACTTTCAGCTAATAGTACGAAAATTAGACATGCCAAAATGTAATCCAAAAGTTTGGAGAAATGAGTTGGCTTGACCTCATTGCCAAACTTGAAAAGAGCAACACATACGAAGGCAGTTAAACGAAATCAAACATTAAGTTAATATGGACCTCCGAAAGGACCTCTTTGTAGTAATGTAGAGGAGGGAGAAGACAAAAGGGGTACAGTGAGATGTCTCATATACTGAAAGGATTAATGAGCGCTTGTGAGGTGTCACGTGATGCCCCACGGTCATTTGCGTTAAGCATGTATTGATCAGTGTTGTATTATTACTTTCGAATAATGGTTGTGAATAACAGCCTAGCAGAATGTCGTTTTCAATCGAACAAAGAGTGCATATTATCAAACTTATTTGAAATCTAAATCACTAAATAAAACGATTATCGCAAAATATCCAGCCGGTTTTTTAGATAATTAGATAGAGAGAGCATATATTTGACATTATTCTCTAAATATGGAGAACACACAAGATTTACCTCCACGTGGTACACCCTGGGCAAGGTATACTCATACCGAAAAAATCCACAAACTGGCAGTTGACTTCAAACTACCACGACCAGACTGTATCCCATATTCGACCACTTCTACAGTACTCACCTTACCTTAATCTATACATTAGCGTCGGTCTCTACATATGTGATTCACTCTTTCCTGTCCACTCTTGACATTTTCCAACTATAACGTTCCTCCTCTTTGTGAAGCCCGAAGTCAACCACCAAAGGGTCAATGATAGCAATCATAAAGTCTGCCATTTGATATAAAAAAAATAAACCTTAGAAGTACTTTATCTATTCATAAACGCAGCGTTCATCCTATCTATTTCAGTATTAGTATGGCCAGTATTAAAAGCTCCACCAAACCCGTAACCCTAAGAAGCATGCCAATAAAAGCTAGATTGACACAAAATCAAAATCTTTATCTCTATCACATGTTACACATGTAAAAATTCAAATCGATAGAGGTGAGAAAATTGAACTCGTTTATGGCAACGCTGCATTAACTATTGTCATCATGTAACTAGTTCATTATTTCTAGTGCATTGTCCCTTTTCAAAACTTACTAAGTCATTTCCTAATGCTAATTCCATCTATTTTCCCGTCTACTTCTCCTAGCCCCATGGGTTATGACTCCTATACTACCAACCCGATCATCAAATTTAATCAAACGTCCTCCAATACGGTTTATTATTCAAGAATCCCTTCTAATTTTCACACTACTTTAAAGGCAAATAGGATCATAAGGAATGCAAACAGGTTCAATTGTGCATGAATGGTAGATACACACCTTCGAGAGTTCCAGTACAGCGTCGTCATGTTCCTTAGGGCCACATCTCCTTGTTAGACGCATGTAGCGTCCAAGAGAAGCGTGCACCTCCCGTTCACACGCTTCGCGATGACGCTCAGTAGCTGGCAGATCGGCAAATTGGATTGTGGTGGGACTTCCCCCCTCTCCCTCGCTGGTTGGAGCTAAGTTGTCCACAAGCTGTAACCCAGGCTGACTAGGCAATTTGTGGGATGGCAGGAAGAGAGTAGATCTCAACTCCTCTGCTTCCGCTCGGTGCATCCCAGACAACTGGAGGAGGAGGCAAGAAAGGTCAGTTTCAAATATAGCTATGTAATAACCATTACAAGTTTATAGTGACAGTAGAATATTTCTACAATTAAAGATTTTCATCATTCTCACTTAATTCTATAAACGATACCTTAAACCTCATAGCCGTTCTTCCCTCCTACCCCCCCCCCCTCATTTCCTTTTCTTTCCACTCGCATTATTTTATGTCTCCTGTACATCATCAAAAAAGCTATGTTCAAAAAATAGGAACTAAGGAACCGTAAATTTTGCTTTTAAACGATGATTATTACCTAGTTATGTGCGAGAAAGATGTTGCAACTTCTGTTTAATCCCAGTGTTATACGAAAAGCGCACTAGGTTTACCACGATAAAGACAGATCGAAGATTGAATTAATCATTAGACTAAGCAGAATACGATTGGTCGGAAGACGGACCAACCGATGAAGAGCGGTTGAAATTTCACTTCCGGTGTCGTCCCATCACGGCTAGAGAACTCTATACACTTCAAATTAGTCTTGTGCATTTTACGATCTACACAGTGACCAACAACATCTTCGAACGCGATGTTTGGATCGTCATTTATAAAAAGTGCGTAATGAATTACCAAACCGAATTAATATACAATAACTCAATTTCTACATGATGATTAGGAAACTGTATAAAAAACTCCACTTGTTTACAAGTTCAATAAAGTTCCGAATTATGCAACAACCAACAAGATCGATTAATCGAATACCCTAGCCTGATGGGTTATTAGGGAAATGCGAGAATCCAAATCGATGCAAAAATAATCAAGAACTATTATACAGTAATTACAAACAGTCCAGGGAACTGCAGGCGGAAATCGACTTAAAATTCGTTTGAGTGATTTACTGAATTAACTTTTTAGCAAAAAGAACTTACTAAAAAGTTTAAAACGTATCTTAAGACGGTTATCTCTAAAGTTATTCGCAGTTGGTCCACAAAACCACAACTCTCCTGTGCGAATAAACGTTTATGGAAAAGAATTCATGAATGATTTAAATAAGGCATCTCGTATAACCTTTGTATAAAGCTAGAAACATCAGCAGTTACATTTAATCCAATTGGAGCACCGAGTGCTAACTAGTGTTAACTAGATGAAACCAATCCTGAACAGTAAGATAATTAGCCAAAGACATGTAAAGCTCAGTAGTTCAACTTTTTTGGACAATGCTTATAGGGAGAAATTTAAAATAATAAGGAAAATAGCTGAATCTAATTTTCATGGCACAATTAACTGCTATGAGTTGCATTCAATAGAATAACATGAGAAAACCAGATGGACGAACTTCAATCTTGATTCATTATCTCTTATTTGCATGTTTTATTCGGCATTGCAAACCGAATCACTATCATAAAATTGAAAGTAAAAAACAAGAAGACATTTTAATGTGGAGTCAGAACCGAAATTGCAAAGAACACATATCAAAAAAATAAAGTATCAAATCTAACTCCTATTTAACAAACCAGACTAAGAATGGGAGTAGAGGCGTTGAACTTTACTGAACATAATGAAAGAAACAAGTTTATAACAACGACTCAACGGACAAAAATTATAACAGCAGATTTTCATTAAAATCACCAGTACTCACCTCTTCGAGAAAGCTAGAAAACTGCAAACAAATGTTCTCGAAGTCGGCGTTTTTTGGTTGAACTGTCAGTGACTGAAAAGGAATATGTGCGTCGGACTAATTACCTCGTAAGGGAGGCATGCGAAATATCTAAGTTATTGAACATAAAGGGAAAAGTACAACATGAAAAAAGATTTAATCACTAAAAACATGAATAGTCCAAGCCAATGGAAAACTGCTAAAAAATACCTTGCCACCAATTTGCCGAGAAATTTCTGACATTCGTAAGTAGGCATTGGCCAGAACCTCCTAAACAAAAGACAACTAAGAAAAAATTATTAGTATTACCTGTGCCTGATAAACATGAGAACACGAAATGTTAAATTCGCGAAGTAAACGATTTATTTCCTGGGCATCAGCTGCAAACTGAGTGGCCAATTGCTGAGCCTAAAGAAGTGTGTTACGACAAGAGAACAAACATGTGGTGCATTGCTCATTGCCTCCTTGAGACGAAGAAGTTCCATTTTGTCGAGAAACGCAAACAATTAAAATCTAATTATGGAAACCAGATAATGAATTCTAGTGGATAAAAAGGTATACTTAATTATTAGCATAGCGTGTAAGTAATATTAAAAAATGTTCATAAGAGTAAAATAAAAAATGTAAGCTCACGACAAAAGATATTGCAAAGAAATGAAAAATGTACACAATAGAAGTACATGCTAATAATAAAACTAAGCTAATACCTCACACAAGATCGACTTTGGAAAAGGGTCAACCAACACAAAGTAAAAAGAGTTTAGTTTTGTGTAACGACTTCTGACATAGTCAAACCTTACGATAATTACTGAATATATGTCCCGACCTCTATACATATAATTTAAAATTACTTTCTTAAAATTTTATATAGCTTTTTTTAATATAAAATTTAAAAATGCAGAAAAATACTGATAATTATATTTGTTTCTTACTGGTTTCACATATATATAAGGACCAATATATAAGACCAATTAATGCTTTACACTTATTTAATCAGTAAAATATGCCCCAGATTTTTCAATCTCTGATAGTTACTCATCAATGGGGTCTCTTGCAATTTATTAAAAATGTCGTAAATAAAACATTGAATTTTCATCTCGAAGTAAGTAAAAGTTTGAAAATTCGAGTGCTTTCCTGTCATGTCCTGGAAATTGTAAAAATGACATGATATCTTAAATAAAATCTTATAAAAATATTGAAACAAGAAAATCAAGTGAAATGATGTAATGATTTGCAATTTTATTACAACGTAACTAAATATTAATTAAACCTGCGAAATATTATAAAAATATGTTTTGGTCTGTAAGAAGTATTTAATTTACGAACATTATTATGACTTGAATGCGTACCAGGTTGGAAAACGTCCCTGATTTCATTACTAAAGTTATTAATTATTCATTAGAAACAAGCAGTATACAATTGTATTGCAAACACAACTAGATTCCGCTCATATTACTCATATATCTTATGCCAATTCGATATATTTAATTTGATTTGTAAACATCCATCATGTAGAACTGATTGTGTTAACAAGACCTTGTAAAATATCTCCTTGAAGGACGTATTTACTTTGCATCACTCACTAAAATGAATAAAAAGCTAATGAACAAATGATAATACACTAAAAATATTATCCTTTGCATTCTATATTCAGTTTTTTGAAAATATTATTAGAAGGTATTCATTGCTCTAGCATCATGATTGATAAAAATTTACCTCTTTCGATCGCAAATATATTGATATTTGGGGCTGGTTTCATTTTTCTTTCAGTATTCTATTTTATAGGTGATTAATCAATATTGGATATATATGTGATTATGTTTTAAGGTGGTGTTCAATTTGTCTACTTTGAAATTCTTTAATAGTCCTTAAAAAGATGAACAAAGCTTTAAATAAAGAGCGTTTTGAATTTTAGTTAAGAAAAAGGTATTCTATTTTAAGGAAATGACTGTTCATATCATAAGTTTTTAATTATTCTCGAAATTATAAGATATTTTATGAATAACAGCAAATAGCACGAATTCGCATTCCCTTATGTATTACACTGCCTTCACGTGTTTAAAGCGCGTATTTAACGATTTAGTTCTTCATTAATTCTGTAAAGAATGCAATCAAAGTTTGATTTCAATAGAATTATCCAAAACATCTTTATGCCTCCTTTAGTTCATCTAAATTTTATTAATCAGGAATTCTGATCATCTGCAGAAAAAGGCTTGACACACTTGCTCACCTCCTGTATATTTTTCAATAGATATTCAGAAAAGGTCTAAACACACGCATGATTGAAAGTATATTTATTTGAATAATGTTTTTGCACTGTAAAGTATGCACTTATTTTAGTCATTAAGGTAACTAAGTGCTAGAATATAATGGAAATGTCCAGTTCACTTAATTCTTTGAAGGAAAATTCAAGCTTTCTTTAAAAAATACAAGCAGAAGCTTAGACTTTCCACAGTTGGAACCATTTCGCAAAATGATTAAGAGTGATGGAAGATTCCACATGGTGCACATGATTTTTAAAAGAAACATCATAAGACTCAACAATCACCCACCTCATTCAAGTGATCGTTCCACTATGGTGCCGTTTTATTCAATATTCACTTTGAGTAATAAATAAAAAAAAACGTCATTTAATTTTCCGTACCTATTGGCATATGTTTTTTTTCAACTAACTGGTTTCCCGCCATTTTCCAATTGTTATTTTTCATTCAGCTTTAATTCCCGCTAATTATCACTATGCTCCAAAAGTAAATTCCTCCGCCAAAGATATAAAAAATGACTAAGTAGATGAGTATTGATGGTCAAGCCGAATGAACTCAAGTGAGATCTGTTTAGTTTTGAGCTACTTAGCTAGTATCAGCTAGGAAAGCTACAGCTGCTGATATGCCTAACAAATAACTTTAGCCGTTCAACAATAAACTTTGAAGCCCATGAATATGAACTTGCTCGTAACCTTAAACGTCAAACCCTGAAATTTTTTAATTTCCAGAAAAAAAGCTGGAAACAAATATCTTATAAATTCAGAATCCGCTGCCACTATAAACTGATCCTCTACTTTCGTCTTGAAAATATTTTCATTAATACTTGTGGCTCCATTCGACTGTTTGCCAAGTTGAGGAGGGGGGGGGGGGGCGTTAGTGATCCTTGAGTAAGTCTATCAACTTAGATTGATGTTCATCTGGCCACACTCAATTATGCGGATAGCGAATCATAGATTGATCACGTGAGCGATTCCAGTAAACCTGTCGTTAGCAAACCTGGGATTTGTTAAAAGTAACTGAAATTAGCACATAAAGTTTTTGAATGTGCACCAAAGAGAAAATTGATCATAACATAGAATCTTTCATCTTATTTTATTGACAGTTACTATAATATCTTATTGAACCTGGGTTGGGAAGTAGGACATTGGTGTAATTGACAGTTAGAGGACCTAATTTTTGACAGCTATTTTTATTTTTCCAAAAAAATATATGCGTACCTGGCATCTGAATTATAAGTGCTATCAAGATCAACATGTCTACCGCTAGGTAGCAGAGTGGTCACGAGTCGAATTCTGGAATATTTAGTCTTAAATTGATCAGTTTTGCAGCTTACATTAACTAGGTCACTTTTGCTATCAATGCTTATCCATGACGTCAATATTTGGAATCTCGTAAGGACTGGCAATGGAATTTCATATAAAATATCATAATTTATGGTTTATTAATAAGCCTTTTGAGGTGTGATAAATGTGCTGTCGAAATGTAGGGGAGAATAATCGAGTTCTTAGTGGACGAACAACTTACAAATAAAAAAATCAATACCGTTTAATATGATACATCAAGAACCAAGACTGAAATATGAGTTAAAGTTGCCATTAAGTGAGTGTAAAATAGCTGAATGACCATCATTGGACAAACTAAATATTTGATCTACTCGCTTACAATTATTTAAATTTTTATTTTTTTAATCTTTTATACCTATTTACTGTAATTCCTTTTAGACTTGCAGTCATGATTAAGTATGCCACCCCCTGTATTTAAAAATAGAACTACAGACTAGGTAACCTCTGTTAATTGTAAAAATATTGATTAGTACACTTTTGTAGGTTTTAATTTGCAGTTATATTTCATGCGCTAGGGCATAATGAGAGAATATTTAAATGAAATTTTGGCATATCTCGTTTTAGCTTAACAACAAATAATTAAGCCCCGTATCTACAGCACAAGGCTTTAAAGCGTTTTATTTGCGATTGGAGAGTACTCCTGTGAAATTTAGATTTCCAGTTTCGAAGTCATGTCCTGTAAAGCCAATAATTTGGACTTCTCTTTTTGAAGAAAGCTCTTAAGTACAATAAGGTTTTATAACACCAACTATAAGCTTCTAATGTCATTATAAATAATAGACATTAGTTTAAAATGGGTAAAAAGTTTTATTTATGAAAGCGTAACATTAATAGCATCGCGTAGGCTTCAAATGGATGCCTCCGTAAACTTATTTTATTACAGGTAAAAAAATTGTATAACCCAAAAGCTTGGTTAATCCTCAAATATCTAGGTAATAACAATTCGTCGCACTTATTTTCACACCCGTTTGAAGATCATTTCTTAACACCCTGGAGTCATTAACAAAGAGAATGGCAGTGGCAGTGTGTGCTTCCTCCTTGAAGTTTGGAGTATTGAGTTCTAAGGAGATTGAGACGTGTAAAGAAGTGAGATGGTGATACCTACTCAATACCCCATGTGTCAATAATAAGGGTGGAGCTTGTAACATCCTCTCTCTCTCTCTTATTGTAGCTCACGTCTCGATAGTGGTTCACGTATACTTTTTTTCATTTCTGAGCATCAATTTTGGCGCTCTCAATGAGATTCGTGTACTGTATCAACTACACAACGTGGTTTTCCGTCCGTCATTGAATTTAGTTTTCGTGCCTCTTTGCATATGCACTTTTGCCTCCCCAAATTAAAGGGCATTAACAATGCACTTACAATGAAGGCACTTCCCATGCGAGGATATTCAAAAGTACAAATGTGTGTAATGTTATCTCTCTCTCCCCCTCTCTCTCTCACTAGCTTTTTTATTTGTAAAACAAGCATTGCTTTTCTTACGACGAAGCAGGAATTATGTGATGTTTATTTCTTTTTGAGCTTACGTTTTGTAACTTTGCATTCTGACGACCTTGGTTCCGACCCAGCATGTTAAGGTCGATGACAGACTTGTTATTGATACCAAAAGTTTTAAGTCATTTGGGGGTAGTTCTGGAAATTTTACCTTACTGATGTCATATTTCATGTTCTTCATAATTAAATATTGAAAATATCTAGAGGATTTTTAGTAGAAAAATTGGCCCCTCTCAACTAACCTCAGACCCCTTGGCGCAATGCGCATAGACATTTAGTTTCAATTGTCTGTCTTGCTAAGATTAGGAATGAAATTTTTAGAATTTACCGTTTAGACAAAGGCGGAATTATTTTAACCAATAGTGAAAAGGAAAAAAATCGTGTGA